GGGTATGGCGATAAACTACATCCGTGTTCTGGGTAATACAATAAACTATATCCGCGTCCTGGGCAAGACGATAAACTATATCCGCGTCCTGGGTAAGAAGATAAACTACATCAGCATCCTGGGTAAGACAATAAGCTACATCTAACAGCAGATCCTCTGATCAGGAGGTTTTGAGGAGCGTGGAATCACATCTTAATTGCTGGTGTTCTCAGATCCACCCTGACCAGGGGTGTCCCAGTTATGGGTAAATACTTAACCCCCAAACCGGGATCAAAACGTGTAAAAATAGGTTTTAATACCAGCAATACATTTTTGTAAAAAAATATTACCAGCAATAAACATCTGAAGAAAATATTAATACCAGCAATACTTTTTTTTTGAAAAAATATTACCAGAAATATATTTGAAAAAAATATTACCAACAATGAAAATCTTGTCGGCATTAAATAACCCAGTGAGGTTATATGGCGTAAAACAAACTAAATCAAAACCAATCTAATGAATTTAAATTTGCAAAAATTCTTCCCCACTAAATGTTTCCCTGGTTTTTAAGAGTTGACCAATTAACTAAAGTAGTCCCGAAAACATGAAAGATTTACATTATATAATGCAATACTTTAAGAACCACAAGAGTTCGGAATATGATAGAATGACGAAACCTATTGCACTATCTCCTAATATGACTAAAGAATTGTTTTATTGATTGATTCATTTTCTATGGAATATCAACCATTTGCCGGTTATTTAAAGCCAGAATTATTTTTTAGATTGTAAAAATTTGTTGGATATAATAATTTTTTTTGTTGATACAAGCCTTACTAATTAACCCATAGCTGAGGGAGAAGAGGTGGTTTCATGTCCGATTTACCGGTAAGTGAATATAAAAAAATCAACGGGATTGGAATTCGGCTTTCCGAGTTCCATTTCCGAGCCGTTATCCATTACACCACCCGCACATCCAAGTTTACAGCATCTGGCTATTCCTAACAACTTAACGAAACGATAGACTACAACAGCGAAAACTATAAATTATACTATTGTCGATAGCTTTGAGGAGAGTTCGTAATATATTCAAGTTGTGTGGAAAAGACCGTAGAATGGATGGATCGAAGCATTTTATTGGCAGGATTATAGACACGAAAATGAAATGAAATTGTCCCCCCCTCCACCAAAAAAAAAATAAAAAAAATAAAATAAAAAATGTAAAAATAAATTGGATCGGTTATACTGTATTTCATTATGCTATTATATATTGTATTCAATTTATATTGCATGCAAATGCATGCACCACAGCCTGGTTCTATGCATATGATCATTATGTGAGGCCTTCGTTTTTCTAAATGATTCTATAAAATATCCTCTACGCTGTTTAACCAGTTGAATCATGAAATGTGGCCACTTGTCGATGATTTAAACACCTTCGTTGGAAATATAAATCGATGGGACTGGCAGAACGGGGTGGGGAGAACCTGTCTACATCACGGCATGCAAAATCGTAAATAAGACAGCAAAACAAAATTTACTTTCAACTTCATTTCCCTTGGCACAAAGCTAAATTAGTAGGTAGAGAGACGACTGTGATGCTTTAGAGTTGAGTAGGTATTTTTTGTTTTCTTCAAAATCAACATTAAAAATCCTTTGTTTATACCTATGTTAGAATACAGAACGATTATGGCTATGTCTTATCATAAGGCAGGCTGAAGTACAATATTATTTTTTATCCTTGGATATATATATATATATATATATATATATATATATATATATATATATATATATATATATATTATAAAATGGACAAAGTCCGAGAATTATTTTAAGATATTTTATGTTTATACATTCTTTTTATAGATACAAATATTTAAGCAAATGCACTGTTTATCATAAACAGTATTAAACAACATTTACCGACCTGAGCTTCCGAGAAATCTCGTAGAAAATATGCGTACTCCGGTAGGAATCGAACCCGTATCCTACACAGAACCGTCATATAGCCTGACGTGTTAAACCAGTTTAGCTACGAAGCGTAAAAGCAGTAAAAATCGATCGTACTAAGCAGACGTTCCTTCGTAGTTAAACTGGTATAGCACATCAGGCTATATGGAGGTTTCGTGTAGGATACGGGTTCGATTCCTGTCGGAGTACGCATATTTTTCTGGGAAATTTCTTGGACGTTTAGGCCGGTAAATTTTGTCAGTAATGTTTATTATAAACAGAGTATTTACTTAAATATTTGTGTATATGTAAATAACGTATAGCATTTTATATATATATATATATCAGTTAAATTGAAGAAGACAAGACACTGCGATTAAGTTTTTTATTCAATTTTTCTTGCATTCGTACAAGTGATTTGTTTGTGGACATAAATCGTGAAAAACTGGCTAAATGATCTAATATATGTGAATGCTTTCAACTGATCCTTCAGCCATTATCAATAATGTTTTTTTTTTTGTTTAACTGAATATGTATCTGAATATTCAGATACTTGTTGAAAATACAAATATAATAGACTTATCGACTTGCAAAAACGGTTAAAAATAATGGAAGCTTTAACAAACAGAATAAGCCAACTCTCCATAATATCCACTATGAACACAGCCACAATGTGCTGACCGTGTTCGGAAATTAAAAACAGTTCCATCCCAATATATATAGTCATCCATAGACAGACTGTTTCGCTGTATCACAGCTCTTCAGTGTGGCTAGACGTCCAATTGCTTCCAGCTGGGATCGAAACCCGACAATTTGGCATCAGTCAGAGATCCTACCCCTAGGTTCGTGTTTGAAGAGTAATATCTATCTATCTATCTATCTATCTATCTATATATATATATATATATATATATATATATATAAACCTAGATAGTTAAAAAATCTTTGTACGAATGCAAGAAAAATTTACTAAAAAGCTTAGTCGCAGTGGCTTGTCAATCGTCTTTAATCAAACTTGTATAAAAGAAGGATTGCTGCTCAAATACTCAATATATATATATATATATATATATATATATATATATATATAAATTGTAAATGAAAGAAAAAAGTTTATTTTTGACGCGTTTCGTCTTTCAAGGATTCATCAGACTAAATTTGTTATGTTATGTTAACATAAAAAATTTAGTCTGATGAAGCCCGAAGGACTCAACGCGTCAAAATTAAACTTTTTCCGCTTTATCATAGAATTTTCCTAATACTGTTCTTGATATATAAAACATATATATCGTTATCTCATATGTATATATATATATATATATATATATATATATATATATATATATATATATATATATATATATAAACAGGTAATAAATCCGTTGGTATATAATCCAAGTGTATCCTAATAATATAAAATATTAAAACTGATCCTCAAAAGACCTCAATGTATTTATAACAGAGCATATAAATTACATAAAAGGGAAATCCAAAATTACCTCATGAATATAAACTATTTCAACCAACGTCAATCCGCTGGCTTTGTTCAGTTCAAATGAGTTGAACAAAGTCAGCGTATTCTCATGAGGTATTTTGGGATTTCCCTGTTACGCAAATTAATATATATATATATATATATATATATATATATATATATATGAAGAAATTTACTCTTAGCTTGTGCTATATTTATTGGATAAAGTGCTCAATATCAGAGATAGAGCGTGTGTAAATATAAAAGTGAACATTGAAGTCAACACTTAGAGGCGACAGGCTGTTTCATGCTAGGTGGCCTGACGATTGTATCTAGCATGAAACAGCCTGTCGCCTCTGTGTTGACTTCAATGTTCACTTTTTATATTTATATATATATATATATATATATATATATATATATATATATATATATATATATATAGAATTGCCATGGCTTCTTGTGAATAATGGATTGATTTTCCATTGCCTTTGAGACGGTTGTGTATTCAAAATTGTCCTTTTCTTCTTGCCAGCAAATGCTAGTGGGGCCACTCTGCATTGATGCAGTTATAGAATTCCTGATAATGCTCCTTTTTATCATTCTGTAAAATAATACGCTCTGAACGCACGCAGATTTGTGAATAAAATGGGTAACATGCAACGTTATCCACGTACTCATCATTATATGTATATATATATAAATATGATAAAAATATAGTTATATTGTATGTTATACTTAAGTGCTCAATATCAGGGATGGAGCATATGTAAATATAAAAGTGGACACAGAGGTCAACGCCGAGTGGCGAAAATCAGTTTCATGTTTGAGCATAATTTTCAGGCCATGTGTGTTTTGGGTGCTAGCTGGACTATTTGTATATACTGCTCAATACATTGCCCAGCATATACACACACACTTACATATATATATATATATATATATATATATATATATATATATATATATATATATATATATATATATAACCCAGCAGGGAATAGACAGTCACCACTCAGTGCTGACCTCGGCGTTCACTATTATATATTTGTGTGTGTGTAATATTCAAAGGTAAATAAAAATATATTTCTAAAAGACAATATGAATAAAGACAAAAGGAAAACAATGACGATTTTCATCCTTTGATGGGCTCCATCAAGGCAAATGTTAAATCCATACACTTGCCTTGACACAGGCCAAGGGACGAAACACGTCGGTAAAGAAAAGTTTTCCCTTTTATCTTTATCCATATATATATATATATATATATATATATATATATATATATATATATATATGTCAGTGAATGTATATTATGTGCGCATGCGCGCTCTTATTTGCCGGCCTATAAGGGAATGCACGTAGAAGACACAGTCTAGGTTTAAAAAAGAATTTTCTGTAGTAATAATGAATATATTTCAAAAAACATATTTGTTATAGATTGAGTCTTCAGTGCTCAGCTGCCCATCCATAATACCAGTGCATATGACACACTGTGATATTCCATTACGCATTTATCATTTAAATATAGGCCGGCAAATATGGCATATATATATATCTATAATACGATTATCTACTAAAATTTACTACGTTACACAGACCCAGAAGAGTGATCAAAATTCTGGAAGGCAGTATAAGATCTTGAATAAGTTTTATCTGAAACTGAGGTTTTCAAAGTTCCTGGAAGAGAGAAAGGTCTTTCAAAGAAAAAATCCGAATCAGCCTTGGTACTGTAATGGTCCTGCGATGTTTTGTTGACGTCATACTTTAGAGTGGCCATCATGTGAATCTTTGGAATGAAAATGACCGCCAAGTTCATGCATGCATTGACCAATATGCCCACGGCAATGGCCGGCTGCGTCAGATCGTCCGGTCGTAGGAAATAGACAAGAAGCCATGATATCCAAACAAAAATACACAACGTGCAGGCTATAAGGACATACTTGGCTTCTCGCAAATTTCTCTTCTCTTTGTACATACCAATGGAATAAAGTAGACAGATGATTTGTAAAAACATCGGGTAGCCGAGATAGTAGACAAATTCGAGTTTGTCAAATGCGCAGCCGTACATGGTCACGCCGTAGTAGGTCACTACTCGCACAAAAACCGACCCCTTTAGTAGCCACCTTTGCGCTCCGACGGCCACCTGGACGCCGGCCACGAACAACACCATCAACAGTTGGTTCATACCGGACAGGGTTCCGCCAAGACCGATCATCCGATAATCATAGAGGTTCATTAATTTGACGAGGATTATACCCAGGGTAAGGGAATAACCGAAACCAGGTGCAAAATATCGCATCTCACAGATGAGTTCGTTGGCGGTAAATACAAACGGGAGCATGGTAGCAAACTGGATCACAATGGCAAACAACAGCAACATTCCCAGCAGAGAGTAGCGCCTTCCACCGCCAGTGCCTGAGCAATATTTATAAAGCAGGTAGAAGAAGATGCCGATTGCCGTGAGGACCCCAGCGGCCGCCACGGTCATAACAACTGTCGCCCAGATTGTACCGGTGAACTGACCAGTTGACTTGGAGTAGCCTTCGCGTCGTAGAGTCAATGACATTGTAGAGCTGTTCAGTGATTTGATTGTTGGGGTCGGATCTGTGGGTATATTTACACAACTGCAGCGGGTACCAATGCATGAAGGCGGAGGCATTAGCAGGTCCGCGTTGTTGCGATCCAATTCTTCTCCAGAGCGATCGTATAACTTGATTTGTCTCCCTTTGGTCGGTGTAAGGATTCTATTTCTCCACTCAGCAACCTGTAAAAAGTAAAATTGTAAATGTAATTCAAAAAGAAATAAGGCTTCACATATTGTCTCGGCTTAAATGTCGACACAGGCTGGAAAATGGAATTAAAGCCAAAACTGATTAAATCTATATATTTTTGCAAAACAGTTTTTGCGCAGTAAAATTCCAGCAATTACTCAGATCCAACATAACGCAAGGCAGCATAGAGCAAGTATAACAAAGGAAAAAAAATGAAACTCGGTTAGTCTGATCTATCTTACCTGTCATAGTCACGTGACCTTGCACCACAGCAAGAATAACAAAGGAAAAAAAATGGTACTCGGTTAGTCTGTTTTACCTTACTTGCCATATTCACGTGGCATTGAACTAACAAGTTATTACCTTTCTCCTTTAGAGAAAAATGTTTTTATGTAGAAAATCATATTCAAGTGTTTCGGAAATTCTTCAGTTAACATCAAATCTTGTGGAATTTTAATCAAAACGTATCAAAACGCTTAAGTGGCTGCATGTTATTGCAAATAATTCTCAATATATAATTGAAAAAAATCTAATTGTACTTTATTTTTCGAAGGATAAAGTTGGTAAAGAAAAACAGAAATTATTTATAACTCAACGTATGGCTCTAAAATGGTTCAATTATGACGACAAATCAAAGTAATGATAATCGATAAAATAAAAGCGAAAGACGATGTAATTGTATAGATTACTCGTCAGTTCAATAGTATTAGTTTTTTCTTAAATAGTCTGAGAAGTGCGTTGTATACAGCTGAAAAAAGATATATAGAGAGGGAGGTAGGGAAAGAAAGAAGGACGCACCAGATGGGATGAGAGATCATGTTAAAATATAGACGAGGCAACTTGTGAGTGAAATAACGAAATAAAATTTATAGAGATAAGATGACTGGATGATAATTAAAAAAAGAATCACCAAAAGTAAATATATATATATATATATATATATATATATATATATATATATATATATATATATATATATATATATATGATGGACAAAGTCCGAGAACTATTTTTAAGACATTTTTATGTTTATAAGTTCTTTTTATAGATGCAAATATTTAAGTAAATGTTTGTGTATAAAAAAAGTATTAATGAAATTTACCGAAGGACGTATATTTTCTATGAAAATTTCTCGGATATTCAGGCCGGTAAATGTCGTTAATACTGTTTTTTTTATAAACAGAGCATTTACTTAAATATTTGTATCTATAAAAGAACGTATAAAACATAAAATGTCTTTATATATATATATATATATATATATATATATATATATATATATATATATATTACTTTTTATATTTAACTTTATATTTAATATTTAAAACTTATATTTAATAATTAATTTTAATAATTGATTTTTATTTTTTAATTTATTTAATAATTAATTTATATTTCACTTATATATTTAAAAAAAAAATATTTTTTATTTATTAGTTTATATTTAATACTTATTTATTTATATTTTATATTTAATAAAGTGTGCTCCAATAACTAGCATCGATTTTAAATGTGAATTAAGTTTGAGCGCCTAATGACTTTTTCTTTTTATTTCAGATTGGCGGACATTTGGGTGATATTATTTTTCACGCATAATTGCCATGACTTAAATAATATGACCCAATAGATAAATAAATGAATTTCCTCATTGATTTATTTACTGCTGACTTTGATTCGTCTTAATGACACACCCTTCATATATAATCCGGCTTAATGAAACACACGTTATATATATTTTTTATTTAATTTTTTTTAATAACATGACTAAATTATTCTAGTAAGTATTATTTTAATTATTATATGTATTATTATTTGTATATAAGTAAAATAAGATGTTAAAGTATTTGTATATTACTTATTCTTTAAATTTAGATGTGTGACATTTTTACTTACTCTTCCTTAAATGTTTTTTTATTATAAAAATCTCTAACTTAATTTCTATTAAGTAATTTTCTTTATAGAAACTATATGTTAATATTTTAAAATATAGGTCAAGGTTATTTTAACTGCCGTTTGAATCCAGACACTCGCTCTCTACCACGATGAATTTGGGTTTAAGCAATGTCTAGACGATTTGCTGTATCCACAGTATTATTCGTCTTTCTCCTTTCCTTTATTCCTTTTTTCTTTTACTTTTTCATCCTTTTCTCTTCCTCTTCTTACTTTATTCTTTAAATTTTTAAACTATTTTATTTTATTTCTTCACACGTCTGTGTTGAAGCCTACAAGTTCTTGTAGGGTGAAATAGCTATTCAAATGGGTTAATTTTGGATTTCTATTCTATGTAATTTATATATATATATATATATATATATATATAGAGAGAGAGAGAGAGAGAGGGGTGGGGAGGGATACAGAGACAGAGAGATAGAGAGAGACAAAGAGAGGTATGATCAGAATGTGTGAGAGGGGCGAATATCAGATGAAAAGAAAATTGAAGAGGAAAACCGGAAGCAAACGTCACATGACTCACCTGCACTAGATGACTTCCGTTCTCTTTCGCCTGTCTGTTGTAAATGGCAATGCTCGTGTCCACCTCCCTACTTGGACTGAACTGGAAACTGTCGTTCTCAGCGTTGACAAGCACTTTCTGGAATGAGGCCAGTGTGATGGGCTGTTTCTGGCGGGCGAATTTTGCACATAGCCCGCCTTTGTTTCCACACTTGGCGGCATATTCCGTCTGTAAGGCAAAAAGCACAGCGTCGGCTGCCCGTATAACGTCCGTGGTTACCGGTGAGATGACATGACTCTGGTTTTCCTCGCGCGGACACGCGACGCCGTAGTTTGAATCCTGGCCGGGCAGATCGCAGCCAAAGCGCGCGTCCCACTGTTCGTCTAGCCACTTACTCATTGCTTGATTCATATTTTCGTCTGTTATTCTTCGATTCGACTGGCGGGTGTAATATTCTTTGAAGCCACGATAAACTTGTGTCTGGCGTCCGATGGTGAATGACCCGAGAGGAATGGACGCCGAGGAGAGATCTTCTTCCCAGCCGCTATCTGATTGATCGAATATCCAAATGATTGACAATCCATTTTCTTTGACCAACGCGTTAAGTTTCAAGAAATGCTCTTCGCTAACCAGGGCAAATGCTACTCTTGTCGTGTTATCCCTAGCCAAGTCCCTCAGCGCACAAGCAAACGAACTAGGCACATCGCTGTTGATTTTCAAGAGGGGGTTTTCGCTGATTAATTTAAGTTTGGATTTTCCCCGTGTTCTGTTTGAATGCCTGAATATATCGTCTCCGCTCAATTCAGGATCTTCCAGCATCAATACATGATAGACACACAGTTTAGCCTCTTTGGCTAAATCATTAAACAACTTAATTAGTTTTCGGTTCTCTATGCTTTCAGAGGCTACAACGGAAACATGAGTCCATTGGAACTTTAGGAGCAAGCTGACGATCGCCTCCATTCGGGTTCTGGCAGCCAGACTCAGAGACAGGGTTGTGTCGGAGAGGTCTGATTCTCGCTCAGCCCGGCGCGACCTTCCCTGCTGGTCGACGGCCAACACGGGTTTCCTAAAATCTGAAATCGACGAGGTCAGAACGTCCAAAACATCAGACGTTCCGACAGAGATGTAAACAGGCGAAAGACGAGGGCTGGCTCCCCATGTTCTGTAATAGTCAATGATCCTCGCCGACTGCGTTTTTGCACTGTTGTTATTGCCCGCATCTCGACGCTGCCGGCTGTTGTCTGGTCGCTGTAAACGAATTGAGAGAAAACATGACTCGAAATTGCCTGTTACCATCAAAGCTCTTTCCTTCGTGGCACAGGAATCCAGAATCAGGAGGCCTGGATTCACCCCGTCTAGAAGTCCGGGGTGTCTTTGCTTCGCTGTTGTTACCGCATAGAGTAAGGAGAGAACGAGCTGGTCGGCATCGTCCTCCGTGTTGATTGAACCGCATTCGAAAGGTGTCTGCCCCCTTTTTCGCACAGGCATAACGGCAGTAATAAGAACATCTCCTGGCATGTACAGCGCAAAGTTGTTGGCTTGGGACTGGCTGCTTGGTGTGGTTAGGTCACATTGGTAGCAGCGAGGACACCATCGTTTGCACTGAGACACCGGGTTCATCACATCTTGCAGGGCGTTGTAGCCTCGGACTGATTTCGGATTGAGCGACAAACTACCATTGGTGTTGAATTCACCGACCTTAGAAAGAAGAGAAAGATATGTTAAATATAATACAGGATATGTCCATAATAACAGAAACACACAAAAAATACACAGATATAAATGAACATTGACATTAACAAAGAAGGGAGTCGGTGTATTTCATGCTTAAAGACAATATACATGGCCTGAAGAATGCGTTTACTGTTTATACTTATGTAGTGAAAAAGATAATCAAGTACCTCGGAAAAAAGTTCGTGTTTTGTGTGCGATCTGCCGAAGAAGGATTACCAAAAAGTAGTCAGCAAAAATCTTATAGCGAAGAAAACGGCGACTTACCTCGTCAACCCAAGCGACAGCGCGTCGCGTGTATTCTATGACGGAAAAAGAAACAAGTCCGTCGCAGGAGTCGCTATAAGAGGATATTAATATGCAAATTACGGAGCATGTAAGTGTAAGCGTTCTCAAAGCAAATTTGTCGCAGATTACTTTCACAACACAAAGAAAAATCACTAAGTACAGACTCGAGTATCGGGGGCAAAAAGAAATGCTGAAAACTCGATTCGCCGGTACAATCTTAAATCACAATGCGTGTAATCAGGGAAGGAAAATTCGGGCATTTTTGGCTTACAACTTATATACGATCTATGTCTGATATTGATGTCTTTTAACCATAAATATAGCATATCTTACAACTATATATTTAATATGCATGTACATAAGTATATAAATATGTATGTATATATATATATATAAAGGTAAAAATCCATGGGTAAGTAATCCAAGTGAATCCTATTAATATAATATATTAAAAGTGATCCACAAAAGAGAGCTCACTATATTTATTATAGAGCATTGCATAAAAAATGGATTACAATTGAGTTTCATTTTTATGTATACATATGTATATATATATATATATATATATATATATATATATATATATATATATATATTGTATGTATGTATCTATATATCTGTATATATATACGTGTGTGTGTATATATATATATATAATTACATAAAAACTTTTTCGTTTTTATGTAATTCATATGTATATATATATATATATATATATATATATAGGTGTGCGTGTATATCATATATGTGTGTATGTATATATGTATATATATATATGCACATACACAAAAAATATATATATATATACATATATATATATGTATTTATTTATTTGTATATCTGCATATATGTGTAGATATATTATATTTATATGTATATGTATGTATATATTTTATTTATATGAAGGTATATATATATATATATATATATATATATATATATATATATATATGCGTGTATAATATATATATACACACATTCTACCACTAAGCTGTTGGCGCACGGCGGGGATAAAGGTGAATTTAGCGGTATTTATTTTTAGATAAACACACAGTGACTGAGAGAACCCGATTCTATTTACCGAAGCGTCTTCCATTATTAGCGGTAATAGTCACTGTTTACAAACCCACACTTCCTCCTCAGAGAGCTCAACCGAAATAAATTTTTAATATATATGTACCGGCTATATATCTATATGGGTTTCGATCCTGATATGAGCCATTCGGATGTCTAGTCGCACTGAGGAGCTGTGATACAGCGAAACAGTACTATCTGCGAATGACATAATATATATATATATATATATATATATATATATATATATATATTCATGTATAATATATGAATGTATATATGCATATATATAAGTATATATTCAAATATATATTGTTAAATATAACAGACAACGAATGTCGTCTCTTATGATTGATCATGAGCCGTTCTAAACTTCGTATAGTTGCTTTAATTTCGGGAGAAAATAAACACGAAAATTGTCCAACGTTTGGATATTTTTTATTATGCTCGTCCTTGATCTAAGCTTTCGGGTCACACGAACCATGTTCAGAGTGGTTATATGGACATTTAAACAAAGATATTCACCATCAAAGATTATATTCTCTTATGTTGACATAGAACATTACTATGCAAAGATAACGGTCGTGGAATAGCAGGCGCATAATGCGGTTAACAACAGAACCATATGTCTTTGATGTAATGTAATGTGTTGTGACTAGTTTGAAATGTAATTTTGTTGAGTGTGCGTTGCTTTGTTTGTTGGCTTCAAATATCTGATGGTTCTATGTCAACATAACAGAATATCATCGGACAAAAAACTTACATGAATGTTAAATGTATAAAGAAAGGTAAAAATCGAAAAAATACAAGCAGTAAATTGCTGATATCTCCTGAAGAGTGGCCGGACAGATTCGCCTACGAAACTCTGGAGTCGGAATGACGAAGGTAACATCAATCAGCTAAATAACAAAATTTGACTCATAGTAATTCTCTCTCTCTCTTTTCCCCCCCTCTCCTCTCTCTCTCTCTCTCTATATATATATATATATATATATATATATATATATATATATATATTGTCATCCACAGACATACTGTTTCGCAGTATCACAGGTCGTCAGTGTGGCTAGACGTCCGGTTGCCTGTAGCTAGGATCGAAACCCGATTTATTTTTAGATAAACACACAGTGACTGAGAGAACTCGATTCGATTTACCGAAGAGTCATGCATTATTAGCCGTAATAGTCACTATTTACAAACCTACACTTCCTCCTCAGAGAGCTCAACCGAAATAAATTTTTCATATATATATGTACGGGCTATATATATATATATATATATATATATATATACATGCACATATATATATACATATACATTCATATAAATATAATATATATATACATATACATATAAACATAAAATATATACATATGTGTGTGTGTGTGTGTGTGTGTGTGTGTGTGTGTGTATAACCTAAAATTATTTCTTATTTGTATAAATATTATTTTTTGGCGTTACATGATTTTATGTTGATAAATCCATTTTTTTTACTTTCATAAACAGTAACATTCATATCAACCGGCCTAGATCATGAAGTCTCACGAAAGATTATTGTTGTAAAGCAGGTTTTTCTTTAGTAGGACTTATCTATCTATCTATCTATCTATCTATCTATCTATCTTGAGTGTGTGTGTATTTGTGTGTATGGTTTGGTTTGGTTTGCTTTACGGCTTATCAACCTCAATAGGTTATCTAATGCCGACAAGATTTTTATTGCTGGTAGTACTTTTTTTTTTTTTAATTATATAGCTGGTTATTTTTTTTCAAAAAATGTATTGCTGGTAATAATCTTTTTACAAAGTATTTCTGGTATTAAAACCTAATTTTACACTTTCATAGTGTTTTGACCCCAGTTTGGGGGTTAACTATTTGACCATAATTGGGACCCTAACAGGTGCTACCACCCCGGGTCAGGCTGGACCTGGAAACACCAGCAATTAAGAAGTGGTTCCACGCTCCTCAAAACCTCCTGATCAGAGGCCTTGCTGTCGGACATAGTTTATCATCTTATTTCTCTATATGCTACTGTGATTCACGGAAATGAGCGAAGTAGGAAACAAGTTCCTTGTTCTTTTGTTTTCGGTTAATACTTATTTATGGAAATAAACTCGACATCGCTTATTTATATTGGTTGTGGGTTAGGTTTATTTATGGCTATGACGTTTAGATTACTTATTTATATTTATTTATTATTTTATTTATGTATTTATTTATTATTTTATTTATATATTTATTTATTATTTTATTTATGTATTTATTTATTATTTTATTTATATATTTATTTATTATTTTATTTATGTATTTATTTATTATTTTATTTATATATTTATTTATTTTTTTATGTATTTATTTATTATTTTATTTATTTATTATTCTATTTATTTGTATTGTTCATTATTTTGATTTATTTATTGATTTGTTTTTATGACTTATCAACCAGTTTGACGTTATTTAAAGCCAAAACATATTTTTGGACTGTAAGCATTTTTAAGAGCTGGGAAGAGAAGAGGTGTTTTCATGCCTTTCCCAATGGTATTTGCAGTGAATATAACTAACCCGACTGGAATTCGAATTCGGCTCTTTGAGCCTTTATCTATTGCAACACCATCACATCCAAGCTTACAGAACCTGATATTGCGGAGCGGTCACCTCTCTAGTTACTGACCAGGGTCAACGTTACTTAACTTCGGTGATCGGACTAGAACCGGTGTTCATTATTTTCTACATATTTTTTTTTGGCTTCTAAGTTTTGGTAGTTAATAAATGTTAAATAAAATTTAGCAGATTTTTGTCTTTTTCTGGTTGTTGGTGATGTAGTAGGAATTTGTTTTCGTGCCTTCATTTAGAAATGAGGTCTGATCTTTTGTTTCGGAGTTTATTTTGAACTTGAAAGATAATTGTCACTATTTTCTCCTCTAGGCAAATACTACATTGTTTTGAGGTGTTGCTGTAAACGTAAACGTTGTTTCTTGTTTTCCATGTTATTTTTTGGTGTGCTTGGGTCTGTGTTTATATATGTATATATGTGCGCGTGTGTGTGTGTGTGTGTGTGTGTGTGTGTGTGTTTTCAACCCATGAAATAATTCTACTATAGCTGTATTATTTTAATTTGATTATTATAAACGCATTTTACGAAAGGGAGATAAATCTTAACCTTATTAAAACAGTTCACACTCTAAAGAATACGCAAGCATTCCTGAGATAATTAATAATTCAAACACCCCCGAGGATCTTACCTGTGTCCACCGGAACCCTCCTCTTATTCGCTGTAGGTTCTTGATAGCATAGTTAACGCGCAGCGTTCCACTGCTGTCGAATTTTCTAGAATTGTTAAATAAGGAGACAGGCCCGACCCGCAGCCTCTGCCGCAGCAAGGACATCACGCGGGACCAGTCCAAGTAAGCTTTGCACAAGCCTTCCTCACCGTCGGGGCAGATCTGTGAGTGGAGACCGGTAAGACTATGGCCAATAGCGCTGACAAATGAGGCCACATAGCTCGCCAGGACTGGTTCAGTCGGCCCGCGGTTAATGGTGCCCGTGGGACAGTAGACGCTGCTGCTGGGGCTCAAAAGGCAGAGTTCCAACTGGCTTTCTAGTTCCGAAACCGACAATGATGAGATGTTTTTCGGGATTTCGTTGGCTACGGGGTCGTTAATCTCCACTAGAATGGAGCTTTGAAAGAGATTTGTCCCCAGGCTGGGATGTAAGGCTGAATTCCAAGGGAAGAAAAGGAAATTAAAGATGTGTGATGAATTGTAAGCTTTAGTAACAGAACGTAGGAAATCATGGGTGTCGTGCGCGTCAGTTAGAAGAATGACTGCCGAGGACTCCTCTTGGAGGAAAGTATGACTTCCGTCCAATAAACCGCTCGCTCGGAGTTCGGACATTTTGATAAGATCCCGGATACACATGTTCTTTTTTCTCGCTTCTGCTATTAGACGGCGCTGCAGCTCGACCATCAACGCGTTCTCCGAGCAGACAACAGTCAAATATGTCCAACGAAGCGATGCAAAGACCTTTAGTATGACTTTGACGTACTGGGTCACCTGGATTGCGTCCAGAAATGATCCAATTCTAGAGACGGTGATATCCGGGATCGTCGATGTCTTTGAGCGGGATTCGCCGATTTTCGCGGTAGAAAAAGAATTTAAATTTGGCAAGTGGATGTAAGATACAATGTTTTGGTTGGAGACTTGCCGGCTAATATTGAGAGTGTCTTTAAGGGTGTAACAGGGTGAGATGTGTATACTTTCCTCCGGTGGCTGCCGGCGGTGATGTGGGGGTTGTTTTGACTGACAAGAATCAATGACGATGCCGCCTAAAGTGTAACCCAAGAGCGACGTCGATTCTTCGTCTTGGAGTGCGTCGATCGATTCTAAGAATTGTTCGACTATTTTGGAGTTTTCTTCTTTTGAAGGAAGGGTTTCACATGATGCTGATTGTTCTAAGGGTATCACAAGCGCAACATAAAGGTTTCCCTGTCTGTAATACTTTAATGAAGGAGCTGGCCATCCTTGTTGGTGATGGTGCTGCTGGTGCTGCTGTTGCAGTTGCGATGTATTCTGAGTGCATCGTGTGCAGGCTGGGCAGTAGCCTGGACAATGTGAACCCTTTAGCTTCTCCGAGATGAGTCGCCATCTTGTCTTGTCTAGCGGGTGGAAGGAGCTGTTGATTTGACCGACCTGAGTGACAAACGAGAAAATAAACGGCTGATCATAAATAGTGATGTTGTACAAGGAAGGCTATCGAAGGTATAAAACTAAAATGTCTTTTTAAAAAAAGTACGCACGAAAGTGGACGCTGAAACATGCACATACACACTTATCTTGTCGAGTAAAAAGTCATTTGAAATACTGTGTATCAAGAATAAATTCTTAATTTTCAATTTTCAATTTAAAATCTATGAGAATAAATCGTACGTTTTTGTACCAAATGCAAATGCCGGCATGGCGATTATTCATTACGACACGTTTATTATTTTTCGAATAATGACCTATTATCCAATTCGTCACGTTTATTAATTTTGTATATATAAAAAAAAAATCCCTGCAAGACTCTTGACAAAATCCAAGGAAGAATATACTACAGTGTAACCCGGATATAAGAGACCCGGATATAAGAGAAACCCGGATATAAGAGAGATTTTCTCTGGTCCCAAATTAGAGGCTGTGTTAATGTATATAAAATAGACCAAACCCGGATATAAGAGAAACCCGTGTATAAGAGACTTCTTCTCCGGTCCCGACAACTCTCTTATATACGGGTTACACTGTATATATACAATATTATCTATTCTTATAATAATATTATACAAAATATACAATATATATTATATATATAATATATATTATATGCAATATACATATACATACACACACACACACACACACACACACACACACACATATATATATATATATATATATATATATATATAAACAATATATATTATATATATACAATATATATATATATATAAATATATAAAAGGAAGCGGGGAAGAGGTTATTGTAGTTCCAACGAGAGAAAAGTGTGTATATTAAAAAGAAACTTTTTTGGTTGTAATGTGGATTGAAAAAAAAAATGTTTTATTTTCCATAATTTTGCTACACCGGTTTCCGGGCTCGCGACCGTCATCAGGCAAAGGGTGGAGATTTCCATATATTATTGAAAATAATTAATTTTTTTCTTTATATTTTTCGATGTTAAATATTCTAGATATGAGTCATTTTCTTTTTTGTGTTAGTGATCCAAAAGTCTTTCTTGAACTGGCAGGGAAATGTTCTGCGTGAAGTGTTATAAAACAATTAAGATTAGTTCGAGAAATGATGCAGTAGTTATCGGTATGCTTATCTTTTAATGACCCCTGTGTGTTCTTAGATCTATTTCCATTTTCGTGTACTTTTGTTAGCATGTGTGTATATATGTGTACATCCCCTCTACATAGATACACACTGTCTCACTACGAGGAATCAGTGAACACATCTGTACACACACACACACACACACACACACACACACACACACATTTTTTTTAATCCACATTACAATCAAAAACGTTTGCGGTTTCTCTTTTCTTTTTAATATATATATATATATATATATATATATATATATATACAATATATATTATACATATAGAATATATACATATTATACAATATATATATATATATATATTGTGTATATATATATATATATATATATATATATATATGTATTATAATAATATTATGCAATATATACAATATTATCGGTCTTGATTAGGTATTTTGGCTTCAATCAATATTTTGCGGCCATAAAATAGCTTCCTGTATTTTTTCTATGAAAAGTTTCTTCTGCAATTCTTCTGGTGAGCTTTCCTCTTTGGCACCTCGACTTCAGGAATTTAGCCGATTTACTCCTGAAACTGATCTCTATAACCGTAAGTTCTATTCTAATAGTTTTCTCTTGTTCGGCTTCTTGCTTTTCTATAAACTAAGACCTTCAAAAATTTAAATGCAACATCAATCGTCATCTTCTGTCTCCTTGAATCCTGTTTTTTATTGTCCTTTCTCGTCAATAACCTTTTTTTCGGTTTCTTTCCCTCTCAGTAAGTATTTTCGTTTTAGTGACTTTATCGCCTTGCATGGAATGAAATGTTAAAAAAGAAGAAAAAGAACCGTTTATTTAAACCAGGACGCGTATTTTACGAGTTACGACGATACCAGGTAGCATTTGTATTTGGTACAACTTATGCAGTGTGATAAGAAAAATAAATTAACCGCAATCATAATAATTGTGCCAATAAGAAAAATGGAAACAATAATAATAATAATAATAATAATAATAGCAAATGAAAATAGGTGGTATTTAAACACATACATTACTTCAAACAAAAATATGTGTATTAAGAATGATGAAAAAAAAGAATATTGATGTACACAATTAAGAAAATCTCAAGAAACGTCTATCTGAGATACACAAGACTGTGTTCATGGGCACCGCTCACATATTCAGAGAAAAACTCTCAGTATGATATAGGCAACAAATTTCTAAGATTAATTTCACTTTACCTCAGTGTCTCACGTAAAAGAATTACCAAAATGTAAATCAGCAAAACTGAAAATAATAGTAATAATAATAATAATAATCCCCACTGATGTCACATTGTTGTGTCTAATAATAATAATAATAACAACAACAATAATGGACAATTTTACTAACCGTGTCCCATGTAACATCAACATACAAGTTGTCCAGATAAGTGATATCAGTTAAATGACAATTCTCCTATAGGGCCTAAGGACCATAGTTTGGACCCGACTCTACAGGAAACAAAGCAGGAAACATAAGAAATAATAATAATAATAATAATAACAACAACAACAACACCTGGAAAGCTGAAAAGGTGATTAGGTAGAATTGAGATCAAGATTGTAGACCCCCAGAAAACTACGATAATTTACTCTGCGAGGATTCTCCGAAAAGTTCTACAGTTCTGAGGAGTTTTTTTGACATCATGGCTGAAGAACAGAATTTCCACTGAGTATGTCAACATAATCATAATCTAGTGGGGTCATAGAAGTATTTTTGTAATAGAGGATTAATATTATTAATAATAATAACAATGTAAATCCTAAGACCTTCTCAAGTGAGTTTTTGACATTTTCAAGCATATACATTCATTTAATGTTTCGCCAAGCTTTTCATATTAAGCTTCGTACTTTAGATAGATGCTGTAAACAGCGAATAGTTGGCAACGGGTAATTCGCAACAAGAAGATTGAAGGTATAGAACGTTTTGTCAGTCATCGGTTATTCCCCTTAATTCTATATGTAAGTTTGTGTGTGTAAACTAGAGGAGAATAAATTAAAGAGTAAAAAAAGATCTTTTAACTATAAAAAAAAACTGGATATGGCGGTGCTTTTTAATCGGTCCGTTAATTGACGAATCAACAATTAGCGAGAACTCAAGATTTACTGGTAAAAATTAGTTTCTTCCTCCAAAACTTATTAATGAAAATCTATGCGGCGTAGGATATGTGTCTGCAATGCTAAGATCTTCTCTTACTACACCCTCATCGTCACTGACAAGTAGTCGGCAGAATTTCACTACTGGGGACAATAAAAGTAGCCAATTCAGACCATATTCATTATGCTAGTTACTACTACCATAAAGCATTTCTCCGGGTGAAAAGACGTACAATTTTGACTTTCAGCAAGAAATAGAAACTGTGTGACGTTTGTGTTTTGGCCTGGAAATAGCCATGATGACTAACGCAATTAAAGAACCGAGACAGCTCCCTACGGAACAAAGACCGTAGTCGCTAAACACAAGTTCGAGTCACATATGATGCCGTGACAATGTTACATATAAGGCAGAGAAAGTTGGATAGTTTTCTTACAGATTAAGATGTGACTTAAAGCGTAAAAGTTGTGATACAACTGATCAAGATAATACCATCGAGCCAGCATAGGAGTAACCAGGGCGTTTTTTAAGAAAAATAGGAACTACTTGGAAATTAATATTTCAAATTAGAAAGACACGATCTAAAATTTCTGGAACACACAAGAGGGAAAGAAAACCTGGAGAAACTAAAATACCCAAGACTTATTGAAGGCAAAAGAAGCAAGAGAAAACTACTTAACAAGTTTCTGTGAATGGATGGCAGAACAAGGAATAAGAGGGGTGGTAAATGGCCAAAATTAACTTTGAGCGCCCCACGACAGGAAGTTGTGGAGAGCCATGGTCTAACACTCACAAGATATACTAAAGATAAGAGAAAACAGCGAGTAACCTGCTTAACGTATTTGAACTAATGAGTGCCAGAATAAGGACTAAGAGGGATAGTGATAAACATGGCGACAAAGATGAGGACAATAGTTCGAATAATGTAAATAGTGTGCTAGAAGTGTGTCAAGTGAATTCCACAATGAATCTCCAACTGCAGGATATGTACTAACCGCCCCACGTGGTCAGATGTGGCACAAAGCCGAATTTAATATGGGGTATCCGAGCCCGTAGGCTCGGCCAAAAATTCCCTGTAGACCCTGTATAAAATGGGGTCGGGTAGCTGTTTTCCGAGACGAGACTCTGCCCTTCGACATAGCCTCGTCTGAGGATCCTCTCTGCCTCTCGAATCTCCAACTGCAGACCAACATACAGTATTTACTACTGTATTTATGTGAGTGGGGACATATCCATTATCGTCCGTAGGTATGCTACAACAGGATGCCATGACAATAAATGAGAAGGATGTTAAATGGGTAAAACCTAGAGCAAAAAAATACAGGAAGTTGTGGAGAACGATGATTAAATACTTACAAGCCATACTGGATGCAAGAGAAGCAAGAGAAAGCAGCGAGTAACCTACTTAACGGGTTTGAGTGAATGTATGGCCTAAGAAGGACGAAGTGGGATAGTAAATGGTCAAATGCTACTTAGAGCACTAAAAGATAAGACGTTGTGGAGAGCCATGATTTAACGCTCACAAGACATACTGGAGGCAAGAGAAAGCAGTGAGTAACTTACTTATCGAGTGGGTGAATTGATGCCAGAATAAGAATTACGACGTATGTTAAAACGTCAAAACTTAGGGCACCAAAAGACAGAAGGTTGTGGAGAGCTATGATCAGCGAGCCCCTGAACGAACATGGCATATAAAGTAAATTTTGGCAGTTGAACATCCTCCCCGCTAAATGAGTCTAAGTGAGAGAATGTTAAAAAGACCCGCCCATTCTCAACAACCCTTTTATATTCACATGTTGTGGAGAGGTTGGGATCACCCAGCCCCTGAAAGAACATGGCATATAAAATAACCTTTGACAGTTGAACATCCTCCCCGCTAAATGAGTTTAGGTGAGAGAATACTAAAAAGATCCGCCCATTCTCAACAACCCTTTTATATTCACATTAGGACTTTACCTTCTGAAAAACAGGTCCAATTGTAGCGAAGAGGCTGAAAGAGGTGTTCGGCTCTAAGGCACGCGTTAGATTTGAAACTTTGAACACCATACGGCTTGCCAGGTACTGCTCCGGTAACTGAGACGTCATGTTCGTAATTTTACTGTTATTTGCGCCAGCGTTCACGTTAGTATGATTACCATAGATGTTGGTAGTGTTAGCAAAGTTTGGTGTTGTAGTTAGTGGTTTCATATCCTTTGGCGCATTGGTATCACCACCCGAATCAAATTTCTTTTCATTTCTGTAAGCCTTTATATCTTCATCACTCAATTCAAAAAGAGCGACTTCTTTGGCGAGTATCCATCGAAGGCTCTCAATAGCTGCATGTGACGCTTTTAAGTTCAGGGCTTCAGATATGAACTTATTGATCGAAGTGTGATCACATTTTGTGTGGTTAGCTGCTCCAGATTCTTTGGTTTTGGCCCGAACACAAAACTGGCTATCTTCGAGCCACTCCCAGGCAAGAGAAGAACCGTTGTCTAGTCCCAAGCGGGACTTGTTAACTAAATAGTCGCCCAGAAACACATCTTTTATATTGGGGACGTCTTCCTTAAGGAGGAGCCCGCTGGTTGTCGTGTTTAGAACGATCTGATTTAAGTCAGTGTCGTTGTCTGTAACAAAAAGAGTGACCCGCATAGTGCTATTACTTAGGTTGGCTGGAGTATGTTGGCCATCAGGCGAAAGTCCGTTGATGAAATAAAGCAATGCAGTGGAGGAAGAAATGGACGAATCCATGTCGATGCTTTCTGTTTGGGTATCAGGCATAGAAAGGCAAAGGTTAGAGCTGTATTTAGCCGCTGTATCCAGGAAGGACCGAAGTTCATCGCTGGCATCTCTGCTATCACTAGATTTGGTTGTCACATATGTCCAGTTCAGGGACTTCGTCAGTTCCAACAAGGACTGTATGAGATAAAGAAAAAGTATTTTAAAATCTAAAATACAATATAAAGCATATTTAAATATAATATAATGTAAAGCATATTAAGATATATTATGATATAATGTAAAGCATATTTAAATATAATATAATATAAAGCATATTTAAGTATACTATACTATAATATTACGCATATTAAAATATATAATGTAAAGCCCATTTAAATATAATGTAATTTAAACAATATTTAAATATAATATAATATAATATAATGGAAAGAATATTCAAATATACAGAGTAACCTCGGTTCTCGAACGTCTCACATGTCGAACAAATCGGTTTTCGAACTGAAAATACGAGATGAAAATGACTCGGTTATCGAACAAAATTTCGCTTCTCGAACAGCCGAACTGAGCCGACCTGAACCGAGTTAACCCGAACGGAATCATTTCTGAGTCGACCGCCATGTTGTATACATTCTTGTGTTGCGTTGTGCTTTTCTTTTCCAATTTTATTGTATTGTGCCTTTTTTCCCACTTTATTATCCCCTAGTCATGGCTCCAAAGAAAGCTAGCAGTGATACTAGTAAAGGAAAAAGAAAAGTTGAGAGAAAAACAATAGTTGATGATATTGTCTCTATGATGATGATATTGCCTCTTCCTTCTCAGTTTCATATGACAAAATCAACAATCTATACTATTCTTATAAATAAAGAGACGATCATGTCCTTCCTTCCCGTTTTCCAAACAATAACATCTCTTTCCTTCCCTTTCCACACCACCTTCCATCAACTCTCTTACTTACAGGTACGTTAAAGTTCGTCTTTATTTTATCTATTTAGTATTGGGTTTATTTACTTTTTCTTAGATTTAATAATTTTCATTTGTTTTGTGTATAAACCTGTGCACAAGGTACTTTTTTTAAAAAAAGTTTAAGTAAGCACTCGACTTGGTATCAGGAACAGATTAATCCATTTTACAATGATTCCTACTGGAAAATAGTTTGGGTTTACGAACATTTCGGGTTACGAAACGAACGAATTAAATTCGTGAACCGAGGTTCCACTGTACTATAAGTTAAAAGATATTTAAATATAATATAATGCAAAACATTTTTAAATTTTATATAAATAGCCACTCGTATTCTAGGATACCCGTCTACCAGGGCGGCTAGCCAATCTCTAATTCAGACGCTCGCTCAGGTCACATTCGTGTTTGTTCAACACCCACAGTAGAGCATAATCAACAAATTGAACAAGGTCAGCACACTCAAACCGTCGATGACTTGTGACTTCAACGGTCCCGTCTACCCAATTATCCCTCCAGATTATCTTCCTGACAAATCAACCGTGGTGAGATTTGAATCCGGGTCTCATAGTCAGAAAGCAAACATTCTAACCACTCGGCCACTATAATATAGCATAATGCAATAAAATATACCGTATATTGAAATTAAGGTAAAGCATATTTAAATATAATATAATTTAATATAAAGCATATTTAAGTATATAATTAAAAGCATTTAAATATATATGTAAAACATATTTAAATGTAAGATAATATAATGTAATGTAAAGCATATTTTGATATATTATAATACAAAGCACATTTAAATATAATATAATATAATTTAATACATATTTGTAACATTTAACTGTAACATCACATCAAAAACAAAAACAATTTTTGGTAATTCAACAAAAATTATAATACATAATAAAGGATGTTAGATATATTGTACTAGTTGACCTCTGTCGTAAAAAAATGTCCACCTTCATTTCGCTAATAAAATATCAAAAATTTCTTCGCATTTTCTAGTTTATATTCGACAAATATACTGTCATTTGGCGTCGTTAGTGAAAAGATGAATCTAGTTATCTCCCTTGAACTGGTGACATTAATCGTTACACATACTAGAGTCATTAAATATACAAATACATTTGACATATTGGATAATATTATATACAAAATTTATATATCAGTAGGTAATTGATTGATAGAATAGAAAAAAAGAATCCTCATTTAATTCCCTCCCTCTAAATCATTCCATCGATAAAAACAAAAAAGAAATCCTTTCGAAGGAAGAAATTCGAAACAGGTTTTTTTTTTCAATTCAGTGATTAAATTTGGCGTATTATCAAACAATATAATTTATAAAACAAACTTTTGTTCGTAATTATATTCAAATTTGCTTTTCATGTAGTACGCGATATCACAGGCAGGATTTATGAAAAGAAAACAAAAAATAAAAAATAAAAAAGCGAAACAGAAAACATAAATTTTTCATTTACTTGTGTGAATATTAGCAGAACAAATTCAAGTGAAAGCGGTAATCAGGGTTGTATTTTATTTTTAACATTGATTGTACATAGCGGCAAATGTTCAGCTTGACAAATTGATGATCCCAGACCTTACCAATTCTTCATTACTTCAGCTATGAGTAAACATTATCTGAACGAATTAAAAAGATTTGGAAAGAAAATAATAACAAAACACGAAAATGAAGAATTTTTTTTTACTAAAATTTGTTTAACCAAGCTCTAGCATTGATAATCAAGAAATAACACTTGAAATTTATTTTCAGCGACACCAGATGAATTATAATTGTGATATATATATATATATATATATATATATATATATATATATATATATATTGATGCATGTTTCATTAAATAATATAGACAAGTGTTATCTATTTTATGTAAATTATTTTATTATCATTTGATAAGCTTAATAACATTATCATTAAACGAAGAAAGAAAATCACAATATTGGTTTCATATTTTTAATACTATCTAAGCTTTCGGCTTAAATAAGCCATTACCAAAGATGACAATTACATTACAATATTTTAAACAATACACGGACAAAACAATAATGATAATCTGTTTATGTTTACATGGAAGATTTCCAAGCAACGACTAACTACATAAAATATAAAAAATGCTGCTAAAACACACACACACACACACACACACACACACACACACACATATATATATATATATATATATATATATATATATATATATTTTAATTTTTAATTTTTGATTCTTCGCTTAGTTTAAATTTAACGTACTTCATATTTGATTGGTTGATCAGAGTAAAACTCTCAAACCTTATAATCCCCCATCTCTCTCTCTCTCTCTCTCTCTATATATATATATATATATATATATATATATATATATAAGTCAGTTATGTGCCATGCGAGATACACGCTTAGGCATATCTTTCGATACATGACTGACGAGGAAGATTTTTTCCCGTGGTAGGTTGCCATTTCTTTCTGCAGTAGACCAGTTGCCATCCAAGGCTATAGAACGCGGTCTGTCCTGCTATTTACCCATAACTAGGGAGAGAAGAAAAGCATTCATACCTTCCCCCAAGGTTATTAGCACCTAAGTGAATGTAATGGATTCGGCTGGAATTTGAACTCGGCTCTCCAATTCCTCAATCCGAGCGGCTATCCATTACTTGTGTGGCAATAAACTCACCATTCTTCAACGCATTCTTTTCAACAGGACGGAGCACCGACACATACATTTTGTTCTCAAACCAAGAAATTATCTTGATGTAATATTTGCAGGAACATGGCTGGGACGACGTGGCAGCGTTGACCCCGATGGATTTCGGTATATGGGAATTATCAAAGATTCCGATTTTGCAAAAGAAACAGAGAACTATCGATGAGCTCCAGCTATTTATTCGAGATGCAGACTTAAGTCGTCAGAGCCATTTATGTCGTGACATTTGTCGAAGCGTTCTCTCACGTTGTAGGAAAGCATTCACGCAGGTGACTTGCAGCTCGAACAGTATTGGTAATTCATTTACTATTGTTTACCATAGCATTTTATTGTTATTAATCAGAACCACTTTAATAATACATTTCTGGACTGTTGATTAATTGCTTTGTCTTAATTGTTATTCTAAGTAACTGTGTAGTGGCTTTATTGGCACCCTTCATATATATTAACTAATAAATATATATATTATTTGATATACTTTAAAAAGTATATAATACATAGGGCTAGATAAAAAAAAGTAATGTACATTTCAATTAACCCCACTTTCTTCTTCTTCTTCTTCTTCTTCTTCTTCTTCTTCTTCTTCTTCTTCTTCTTCTTCTTCTTCTATTACACCCAACGTGTTGTGTTTGTTACTTATTTTGGAAAATAAAATAATATAGCGTTCATTAGGCTTCTTTTTTTTTTTTTTTATAACGCGTTAAGAGGTCATTTGATAAAAATCGCCTGAGGAGACCATAAGGTTGAAACCAAGGTAGCGGCTTCAACTGACCTCCTTTAAAGTTAAAAGCTCTACATGTTTACTTTTTAACACGTGTATTGAGCACTTTTTAATAGTGCTGTTTTCTGGTCTGGATCAACTCTCGGACCATTAACCTTTTATGTATTATATATATATATATATATATATATATATATATATATATATATATATATATATATATACTGTATTTCAAAACGAATTTTAATTGATTGTATATAATCGTTATAAATAGATGATTTTAGCCATGTTTACAATTCTCACAGCACAACGTAATTCTGTTTATTAAAAATTCTTATTCAAAAATAAAATATACTTTCCTGGGAGTTTATTCAAAAAGATAAGCTGATTGAATGTTTAATTACTGTTTTGAGACAAATATTATTTACTTTTAATTTAAATGTCACAGAAAAGCATTTTTTCACGTGGAAGTGGGTGTTTTTATGATGTGTTGAAACTATCTCGATAGACATATGTTTTGATTTTTTTTCTATGGAGGGCATATCTGTAAAAATATTTGATGAATATAACCTAAGCGCTTTTTTAAAATAATTATTTACTCAGTAATCTAAAAATTTAAGAAAATATTCTCTGTGGTC